GGTGTTCTCTTCTGTATCCTCCTCCTATCCTCAGCACTACTTCTATCCACCCTCTCAGCAACCGCAGCTCCATATCCCCGAGATTGCACGTATAAAAGGATCCCGATTCCGCGCCATTATCTCGGAATTCTTTTCCACGGCGCGTCGCGTCGGAGCGGACTCGAGAACGAGCTGCTTCGAAGGAGAAAATCGCGTGTCGCGGAACATATCGGGTTCCCGTGCCGACAGTAATTGTCGTTTCTATTAAATCGGTCTCTTTCCTCGAGGAAATCGACGCTCGGTTTCATTTCGTTTCGAATAGACCGTAAGCCGTCTCTGATACCCGCGTCCCAGCGAGCTGTCGACACTTTTCGAGAAATGTTTTAAACAGACCTTCTATCTGGTTTATCTTATTAAATGATATCGCACTAAAGTGCAGTCTTAGGATACAAGTATTTCATTTATAATAAATTGCAAGACGAATGTGTAACAATAAATACATGTACAGTTAAAACAAATGTAAGCAACTATATTTTGAATGGTAATTGTTTGGATTATCTCTAGTTCCTGATAATATGTAGTGTCCCGAACTGTTGGACCAAGGCAACAGCGAGGTACATTACAAGGTAATGAAACATAATCGCCTCATTCTACTCCGTATCACATCTGGCTCAGTGCATAGGGGAACGAGAGTATGGTCAAATACGATATTGCAGCATTGGGAGGGGGAGGGGGGTGGGGGGGCGAATGGTCAGATCATTGATGCACCAATTATCACGAGCTCTCAAAGGACTTAACGGACGTACGCGATTAGTACCAGCCACAATTCTTCACGTCATAACTCCATTAGAGCGAAGCTAGTTCGGTGGAGGGTGAAACATTTCGCGAAGTCTATTCTCTTTCTTTTGGCCATCAGAAGAGAAAATGAGCGTCATTAATCGCGAACGGTTGAAAAAATAGGGCTTTGCGCTGAGTGAGACTCGAGCACAGAGAAAGAAAATGGCACTTCTCGTGTAACAACGAGCGCACGGGATGCGGGAGCCGGCGGTGTGTTGCGCGATGTCACGACAGCGACGAGATCAGAGCAGACAAATAGACTCGCGTCAGTTTTAAAACGTCCCACGGGCGAGGGAGAAAAGTGCATCGCGGGCCACCTTCCGAATCACTGCTCGAATCTCTTCCGCCTCTATCCTCCAGCGAACGTCTTTCTCTCGTTCCCGGACAGATAAACGAATAGCGGGGACCGAAGTGCTCGTGAATCATCCTAATTTTCCGTCTTGTGAACCACTTCGGTCACGCATACGGGGTTCGTGCAGGACATGAAATACGGCCAAGTCGGATGGCACCCGGAAGTAGGAAAAATGGACCGGGATCAATCGCGATAAAATAGAGTAATGCGTCTCGTTCTGTGACTCGGTACGTTTGAAAATACTTGGGAATAAGGGTCGAATGAAAATATCACTATCTAACGCTGGTCTGTGAAAATTATTTGAAAAATTACCAAAAGAAATATACTGCAGTCAGTCACTCTTCGAATGAAATTTAGGAAAGTGAAAATTAGAAGCATAATCTATAAGTGAAATTAAATAAAATTATATTTGAATTCTGTATTGAAAACAAAGTCGTCGTTTTCGGTATTTAATATTATGCATGTAACTACACGACTTTTAAAACCGTGAAATTCATTCGTCCATCGTGGGATCATTGCTATGCGGTAACGCTCCGTCATTTTTCACCGCAACTGAAACAGAGAACGGATAAGGAAAAGCGAAGAGAGAAAGAAACGGAACAGGTGGCGGGACGCGACGTGACGACTGATCTTTCCTTCCCAGATAGATGGATAAACGGTTACTCGCGAATATTCCCCGGTCCTCGATCATCGTCGTCGCCGATCTGCCAAGACGGAGGATAGAGGGAAAATGGAGTTTACGAGACTATCGTCCATTCGACGATAGAAACTGAATCGAGTTTCCGCGCGCGCCGCGACCATTTGTCATTAGAGAGAACCCAGACAGCAGTCCCCTCTGTTACCGTTCTGGACGTTGCTTGATTACACTTCATTCCTCGTTCAAAACGCGAGGAACAAGAAATCCGACCGCGCTAATCATTCTTACGTTGCTAAAAATCTCCGTTATTTCTTACGTTCTAGATCATAAATCGAACATCCAAACCTGTTCCTTAGAATCTTACCATTAATAAAATAAAATGAAACTTTAATTAAATAAATAATTAACAATTCTTCATTCTATATTTCTTTCCCCACTACTGCCAAGGGTGAACTTTCTAAAATGCAGGAAGCGTCGGGGCGATATTTCTAGCACCATTAAACTTTATTTCGTATCGGTGTTCGTTGATTACTGGAAGAGAAATTGATTTCGATCGCTTCAGTTTGGCGTTGAAAGGAAAGCTCCGAGACAAAGTTTGATGATAGTTCTACTACGTGTCGCGCGTTTGATGAAAATTAAAAATGTTCGCGTCGCTTAAATAATTCCATCGTTCGCGTTAATGGCACGGTGATTAAACGCAATACCGATCGAGTCTGTATAAGCACACGTACAATAGTGTACATTGTATATTTTAATTACTAAATATACACGATACATATACATATATTTAATACTGCGAGTAAACTTTGACTTTCAAGTTGAATATAAATATAAAAGTGCTTCTTCGATTTTTTAATATCCCAACGTTAATTAAAGCTCCCCACACCCAATAAAGCAGCTCTAACAAACCTGTTTAATTATCAACAAACAAGAGATTACTTACCGAGCAGCAGCCGTGTTCGAAGCTGGATGAGTTCCCTCGATGCGGTGTCTGAAACGTCGTACCAGGCACCGGGCCACGTAGCGGCGCGCTGTTAAATATTAAATAGCGACAGGATGCGGGCATAATGACGGCATGCCCGTCTACCAAAGCAGACGCGTGGAATTAGTCATTAGCTCGGGCACATGAGGGACCCATGCAAAATTCGAAGACAGAAATAATCAATTGTCAACGCGTTCACAGGACTCACCTAAGAAAGCGAGCAGTTCGTGCCTGGGAAACGAAATTAATTAGCGGCTGCAAATTGGTGGAGGAAGCGTCATCGCGTGCTATTAAAGCTCCTTGCGGCCAATCGCCGCCCCGTCCGGCCGCAATTGTTCTTGACCGACCGCAGACTCCGACCGCTTGATTCCCAGCATCATTCAGCTCTCAGGGCGGAGGGTAACATAGTAAAAGTTCACGGACCGGCTGGAATAATTAATGGAAATTAGTTACGCCCCCCAGCGCGCGATGATTCAACCCGGTCTGCTCGGCATGGATCTTTCGAACTCTGATAAAGCTTTTTACGCCTGCAATAAATGCTATGCCGCGCGTTCCATCAAAGGGGTTCACTTTGCGATGGTAATATAATCTCGCGACGCGATGCTAAATTAAAACTGAACAGGGATAAAACTACCTACGTATATTTTCCACGGTTCCTATTAGTGTCAGTATGAACATAAAACACATGTGCGCGCAATGAAATCCTTAATTGCAATATTAATCTGAGCCCTGATGTAAATGAGCGTGATCACGTACAAGAGTTTCATTCGCACTTGCGGGGAGATTGATTTTAAACCGAAACGCGTTGTCAGTTGACGACTGCGGTGACGGATGAGCGGCTAAACGCGGTCATAATGTGTAAACGGTGAAACCAAGCGGTCGTTCGTAATTATATGAGATTCACGCGGAGTGGAACGACGTATCTCACGCGTACGCCAGGCTTGATAATATACAGTGTAATGAGAACTTCAAGGAAACGCATCTCACCGAAGAAGTAATAATTAACGCGCTACTGGCCGCCCGTTAATCTCAGCGTTTGAAACTCGCATTTAATATTAAACGACAATTTTATTTCAAGTGAAACGTTAGGCAGTCAGTCCAAGCGCTTTGACTGTTGAAATTCTGCGTAAAACTTACTCATATTTTTAGAAAAAAACAATAAAGAATATTAGTCAGTGCTGATTCCCCTTTGTTTTAATTTAATATTAATTTACTTAGGAGTATTAAACCTTCCACTTATTTTCCTCTGTCTTGTATATGTTATGTTCCATGTTTATTATATTTAACTCTCACTTTACGTTTGCCTTGCGATGAATAAAATAATTACGAATCCTAAGACAGTTTGTTTGATAGAACGTTCCGTCACGACATTGTCCGATGGCGTTCGGTGTTTTTGTCAGCGAAAAAAAAACGTAAAAACCGCTAGGATTTAACTCGCATTCGCATTAGTTAGTCAGTTCGTATCGGCCGTTCGAACGATACACTTGATCGCGAACTGTAGTCAATTTCGTTGTTCACGCGCCTTTAGTTAAGTGATTGGAGTACTTAGTACTTACTTCCGCTCGCACTCGACTCGAGCATTTGTGCAAGACGTGCTCACGAGAAGACGTTAAAGTCACGTCGCGTCGTGATTCTAAGTGAGTTATTCAGCTTAATCGGCGGTTTCGCTGCGTACGAGTGAACTTTTTCCCTTTGTCGTGTTTCAGTCGAAATAGTGCTCAAAACTTGCCACGATATTTCCGGTGAACACGGAATATGTAGTGTTGTTCGTGAAAAAGATATTTTTCAACAAAAGAGGTTCCTGGTATACAAAAAAGGGTCAATTTGTTATTCAGATTTCATGGTCGTTGTGATTTTATGGATGATACACCAACCGTAGATGTTAAAAATTCAAATCGACAACATAGGTTAGGTTATACTTTTAAGATATCTAATTACGAAACGTTGTTGGGAAACCTCGATTAAAGAGATAATGTATTGAAAGATTCAAAGTAGCCTCGGTCGGAGAGAACAACAAACAGCGAGGGAGCAACGACAAAAACATATTGCAAACTCTGTCGTGGGGCATGTTCGACGGTGGTTGGCGTGGAGAGTGAATGCGCAACATTTCTCGCGGTGGCACGTTGGCTGCGTCGTGGAAATTCAGGGGCATCGGTAGCCCCGCATGGGTGCTCTTCGAGAGACCGAACGCCGAGTAGGGAGTTTGCGCCTAGCCAGGCCGAGTGTCTCGAGCTTGCGAGCTTTCGAGCAGCAGCCAGTCACCGGCTGCTGGGCCACGACCTCGCACCTCATCCGGCGCGCGCTCACCCCTCGTAACGAGGTTATCGTGGCCACGCTTCCTGTGTACTTCCAGTGTCTCGTTTTGAATCCTGTCACGCGAATCGCAACCATTTTACCATCGCGGATCAATTTTTTTTTTGTAAGTCAGTGTCGAACAGTGCCGAACTTCCTGTTTCGCGGGTTCACGACGTAAAACATTTTGGACAATAGTGTGAGAGTGAAACGTAATTTTGGACGGTGGTAAATCAATCGGATTGTCTACCGGGAAGCAGCCCAAGATGATGATTCGTCGTCCTGATACGGCGAATGGGTGACAGACACGAGGCTCGTGATCCGCCGCGGGTTCACGGTGTTTTTCAGCGACGGGGGAACCATGTGAGGCTACGACCATGAGGGTGAGTGCTCTTTCTCATCATTATTCTTTATGGAATTGAAATATAGTTAATACTTTCGGATTACGATCGTCGATTTTAATAATTCGTTGCGTCTGCTTTGGAATACAAATATATATAAACTCTGCCTCTGGAAATCCTTTGTTTTTACTCATTTTTATCGAATTTAGACGTATATCTAATAACATGCAAGCAAATCAGTTTATAGAAGAATTCATTCGCATGAGGTATTATTAAGAAAAAAGATTTCGACGTGCTTTCTGCATTTTAACATGACAGGTCATTAACTTCATATCAGACACACTTTATAAACTTTTTACGCAGACTCAATCAAAGGAATATCTCATACACTTGGTGTATCGATCTCAATTTAAATAATAACTAATTGTATTAAAATACCAGTGGAACGTATATCGTTCTATAAATGAAACTGATACGTATACGTTATAATATATGAAATGGTTGCATCAATTCTAGATAAATATATAATCATCCCCGTATGATATACTTCGGTACGTTTTAAATGAATGCTGCTCTAGATTTCCTGAAAGATAACGCAAATACTTTCGAACAAAAACATACATTGTATGCGAGCATTATGAATTTTTCTCTGTTATGAAACCTTCATCCACTTTTTTCCAACTAATGTTATCTATACGTTTTTCCACTGAACCCTTTATGTCACGGTTTCTAGCCAGGTCGAGGCGAAACCTTTGTCCCCTGTACCTGATTAAAGTCCATACCGTGTAAACGTGCTTCCGGGTCGACCGGCGCAGCATATAAATATATCGGGTGAGCAGATCGAGCGGCAAATGCCTTTCGAAATGTCAGCAGGAATTTTACGTATTACCGTAAGTACGTTTAGGCCCACCCGTTGCGCCCGCTAATTTATTGCGCGCCGAACGAGCCACGCAGCTTTGGCCTGTAATTATTTTCACGTGACTGTGTGCACCGCCGGGATTAAACCACCCGCACCCCGCGGTGGGACGTGTTTTTCGTGTCACGCCGCGCTGCTAGCCGCGTGTTACTTCGGCCATCAATTTTCTGTTTTCCCTTTTTCTCACCCTGCGCCCCTTTCCCACGTTCTCCATAGCGAAGCAAGTTTTAATGTCCGGCGAAGTTCCGAAGTTTCAGGAGACTTCGCTGCTCTCTCCCTCGAGCTATTACGACCCTGCTTTTATCGATTAAAATATAGATAGGAGTGAATTATCAATAATTAATGAAAACGTTTTTGGAATTACAAGCGGTTCATATTGAAAAATTGATGCTGTACTATTTGGAATTTTCTCCTGTCTGTTGAGAGTTTTAGGATCGAACTTTGAACATGAAGTCTTATTTTGTACACTACGGTCTTAAAACTTTCTGCGATAATTCGCTTCTGAATTAATTGAAACACGATATTGATTATGATATTAGGAATGTGATCGAAGGTTGAGAATTTACACAAACTTCGAGTCTTATCTATGTTTATTCTTCTTGCTAGCACAATCGACACTTTATTTCTCTCCCTTCATGAAAAATTTTTTTACTTCCTAAACTATCTGTATAAAATGCTTTTAAGCCTATTTTATTTTTTATCACTAATGTGGTCCAGGGTACATGAATCTGCATAAAAACTCGTATAAATATTGAATGGGATTTTAGCAAGGTGGAATGTTGCACTTCAATGTTGCACAGGATGCTGCGTGAGTTTTCAACAAAAGCGGACATTGCATTGATAGCATTTATTGTTTATCGCATGCAAAAGTTGTTTTTATACGTCGGGCAAATGAAGTTGTAAAATTCATTCCATCCACTTTTGTCATAATATTTATAAAGCTTTCTCGGTTGTCAATTTTTAAGTAACATTGTATTTTTTAGGAATATCTTTCATTCATAAATTTTATTCTGTCATTTAATACAGTCATTGAGTACATTTTCCTATTGTCCATAAACATAAGACATAAAAGTCGATTTTAAAATACATAATCTTTATTTGTTGGTATACCATATAAAGTCGAGACTATTTAAACAAATTAAAATTAAGAGCCAATCGTTAACAAGGCAAGACTGAAATGTTCGTTGGGTGTTTGGAACGTAAATGAAATCATGCTGGATCGATTGAATCTATAGTGAAACGACCGCCGCATAATTGCCGTTCGTCCAAAGAAAATACAGGAATCAATTGTAGGGCATTGAGGTACGAAGGGAAACCGTTTTCCTAATTTTCACGTAGTCACGATTTCCGAGTAAGGCTACTCGAAAGGGGGGAGAGAGAAGGGTTTATTGTGTTCGTCGGAGGGAATCGGTGGACGCGCGAGTAGCTTCAACTGCAAATTAATCCTCGTTATCGATTAACTTGGCGTGATCCATCTGCGGTTTTGTCTCACAGTTTGTACTTCTCTTGCCGCGCTAATCACATAAGGGCGACCTTTCAAACATACACATCGACTCCAAGCTATTTTTAATCAGTCGTGAAGTAATGAACCAATATTAAAACTAAAAGTAATATAATGGAATTGCTTGTCAAAGTCAATTGAAAATTTGTCCTGTATGCATTTAATTAATTTTATAACAAAGCTTTCATGTTAACGCACGTCCTTTGTAAGGTACTCGAGTATTGACATTCCATTTTTTATTATTTTTCTTTATTAACTAATAAAAAGAGGAAGGCTAGTAATAATAAATAAAATTCAATTCAATTCTTAGTATTAGTTATTATTAATACACATATTAACTATATTTCGTACGTTTTGTAGAATGAAACAATAAAACAAGCAGGAAGTTATTGCCATCGCAGAATTTCGTTAGGCAAAACTACGAACAAGTTCCGTGGATCTCCTGGGTTTCGTTTTGCCAACTCGGGGAGCGAGAGGTCCAAGTTTTCATTAGCTCATCTCGAGACTAGTTCTTTCCGAGTTTCGTTTACCGAGGAAACTCGTAGAAATTCGATTAACAATCGTCCCGTTTATAGCGGGCCAAGCTTTTAATTGAAAGATTGCGCAGTTAACGACCGGGAGTGCGCTCTATCAACTCCTCGATTTGCCAGAAACGTTGTGAAGATGTTAATTAATTCCGACGGTAGTTTCCGATCGAGAGACAGAATCGATAGCGTGATAAAAATTGGTAGCGTATAAAGGTTCGCGCGTGTCCGGTCAAAGCGGGTTTTTCCCTTTTTGGAAATCAGTCATTGAGTACATTTTCCTATTGTCCATAAACATAAGACATAAAAGTCGATTTCAAAATACATAATCTTTATTTGTTGGTATACCATATAAAGTCGAGACTATTTAAACAAATTAAAATTAAGAGCCAATCGTTAACAAGGCAAGACTGAAATGTTCGTTGGGTGTTTGGAACGTAAATGAAATCATGCTGGATCGATTGAATCTATAGTGAAACGACCGCCGCATAATTGCCGTTCGTCCAAAGAAAATACAGGAATCAATTGTAGGGCATTGAGGTACGAAGGGAAACCGTTTTCCTAATTTTCACGTAGTCACGATTTCCGAGTAAGGCTACTCGAAAGGGGGGAGAGAGAAGGGTTTATTGTGTTCGTCGGAGGGAATCGGTGGACGCGCGAGTAGCTTCAACTGCAAATTAATCCTCGTTATCGATTAACTTGGCGTGATCCATCTGCGGTTTTGTCTCACAGTTTGTACTTCTCTTGCCGCGCTAATCACATAAGGGCGACCTTTCAAACATACACATCGACTCCAAGCTATTTTTAATCAGTCGTGAAGTAATGAACCAATATTAAAACTAAAAGTAATATAATGGAATTGCTTGTCAAAGTCAATTGAAAATTTGTCCTGTATGCATTTAATTAATTTTATAACAAAGCTTTCATGTTAACGCACGTCCTTTGTAAGGTACTCGAGTATTGACATTCCATTTTTTATTATTTTTCTTTATTAACTAATAAAAAGAGGAAGGCTAATAATAATAAATAAAATTCAATTCAATTCTTAGTATTAGTTATTATTAATACACATATTAACTATATTTCGTACGTTTTGTAGAATGAAACAATAAAACAAGCAGGAAGTTATTGCCATCGCAGAATTTCGTTAGGCAAAACTACGAACAAGTTCCGTGGATCTCCTGGGTTTCGTTTTGCCAACTCGGGGAGCGAGAGGTCCAAGTTTTCATTAGCTCATCTCGAGACTAGTTCTTTCCGAGTTTCGTTTACCGAGGAAACTCGTAGAAATTCGATTAACAATCGTCCCGTTTATAGCGGGCCAAGCTTTTAATTGAAAGATTGCGCAGTTAACGACCGGGAGTGCGCTCTATCAACTCCTCGATTTGCCAGAAACGTTGTGAAGATGTTAATTAATTCCGACGGTAGTTTCCGATCGAGAGACAGAATCGATAGCGTGATAAAAATTGGTAGCGTATAAAGGTTCGCGCGTGTCCGGTCAAAGCGGGTTTTTCCCTTTTTGGAAATTTGCCGCGCTAAACAGAGAGAACGGTGACGGTATTTGGCCGTGAAACACAAAAACTGAAGGAAAAAAGGTGGTAACCTCGCCCAAACCGAAACGCGGCCGAGGAAATTCCACAACGACGGCGGCGTTTATTTTGCGTTTTAGGATACGAGGCGAGCGCGTCCGCCCTCGCAAGTCATTTCAAACAATTTTCTTGCGCGGCTGTGAATTTAATTTGAACCGCAGTCAAACCGTAAATATCCCCAGATACGGTTTTCCCTTGAAAATATAGTAAAACCAGCCAGCGCACGCACGTTCGTTCCCGGGGTCAAATAATTCTCTCTGACCTCCGCACTTTTCTTTGACGTACGCGCCGATGCTACAACTCGTGCGCGTCGGTATTCTTCCCCGATAACAGTCCCCTGTTTTTGTTTAATCCTAGTTTATTATTTTTTCCTCTTTGCTATGTTTCAGCGTTTTTACGCAGTGTTTTTAATCGTCAAGCTTTTGTTCGGTGAATTTTCTCGGTTTTGACGAATTATCTCGACGTAGTGTTTTGTTGACAGATTTATTATATTGTTAAATATGTATTTCTATTTT